ATATTATATATATGTTTATTTCTTTTAAAATATATTGGCATTTAGTTTTATAAAGACAAATGGAGTAAATATTATTATATATTCATTTAATACACCGTAATAAATGTGTCTAACATTTCAATAAACTAAAAAACAGCACTTAAAGTATTTTATATCTATCATATTTTTCCTTTAATCCAAAATCTCTTACAAAATTCATCTATTTATTTTGTTGGTTCATGGTAACTTTTGTATGTTTAACGGTAAATTATCCAAATAAACTTAGATTTTTTAAAACCATTTTATTCTATTTTCTTGTTTTCTTTCGTGTCATCTTTCCATTTTATTATGCACATAAAAAAGAACCCGAAAAGAAGAGGGACTGGATTTGCATTATTCAATAACTGAAGGCGAAGATTTGGTTTTATTTATGTTGTTCGACATCCATGCACCAGAGATCAATTGCCTATATATAGACGTCAAAAGCCCACAGACTAGCACTACTCTTGCTTTCATAGTTCGCTCTTGTGCTCCCAAAATCTTCCTGTTCACACCGTCACCTCAATTCAGAACTCTGAATTTGATTATAATCAGCGAATCAAACTTCAATCGATCAATCATCAACTGTTTTCTTTCGCCATGAGTCCATCTTCGCAGAGAACTTCAACTAAATTAATCCGGAAGTTGCTTGAGAAGTTGAACGAAGAAAATTACGACTCTGTGGTTCACAGACTCTCTCAGGCATAAACTTTTTTCCCAATTTCTCGTTTCTGAAAACCCTAACTGGTTTATTTTAGTCGCATCTGTTTCTTTGTTTGTTCACGACACACACTAATTATTAAGTTAAATTAACCCCTAAATTTTGTATTTTTCTGCGGAGATTTTGAGTGCGATGTGCAGAAATCTTTGTGGAAGTAAGATCACTTTGAAAGCAACAATTTTGAGCTATGATTTTTTTTTAACTGTTTTATTTGTTCTTGTTGGTGGTTTAAATCGGAATGAGTTGGTGGTTTCGAGGTTAATTGCAGGGTGGTGTTACATTTAATTGGAAACGAAATTTGGGCGTTGAGCACAATTTTCTTGAGGTTTGGTTAACTTCACGGTTTTTGTGTTCATTAAAACGCGATTATAACTTGATAAGGCTCGAATTTTGAATCAAAGAAGAGGCATTTGCTCACCTTTCTACCATTGAAGAAAGGTTGACGAGTGGCCTTATTCTTGTTTTCCATATAAAAACCATGTTGTTATGGCAAACTTACTATTTCTTAAGGGCAATTTTCATATGTTGGAAGCATGTTTTTTCTGTTATTAATGAAATTGAACATTACTTTAAAATAGTTTTCCTTAATAACTATTAGAATCATGGTATATATACCTTAATCATGTGGTTCCTACATACAATGTAATTGTTGCAGTTTATCAGTATGAAATCGTAAGCTTATCGCAGTTATTTTATGGTTATCATGCCTGTTTCACTTTCATAGGAGTCTTTTTGCACATTAGGACTACATGTTTTCAAAGGGTAATCAACTTAAATTATGAAATACAGGAGTTAAGAAATTCTAGAACTACAACATAATATTTTTATTTGTAATTCTACTAGTCCAGTAATAGATAAAAATAGGATTATTCTGTTTGATCCAGTTTGAAAGTACTTTCCTTGGTCATCTATCTCTTGCAGTTATCATTCAAGGTCAAAGGTGCCAGTTAACTTCATTGGTTTCTATTTAAAGGAAAATATTTTTTAAAGATTTAAACATAGTGTTGTCTTTTACTTATTCAAAGGGTACTATTTGATCAACTAATTGTCGTTGTCATTTCTTCCTAATTGCCTATGAAACATTTCTTCCTAAATCATATCGTCATCTGTCAATGAAAAATACTCCTTTGAACATACGAGATGCCTTTGTGCTTCTGGTGATGCATCGAGTTTTATAATTTTTCATTTTTATCCTCTAGAACCACTAGGAATAACGAGTGGTGATTGCGAAGACAATGACACTGATGAACATTTTAAGAGTTTAATGTTTGAAAATTCAATATAAGATTTGTATTTAATTATTCAGAGGGAAGAATACTATAGTAGGAATCTAGTATCTAGGTTTCGTATCTTTCGAGATTCAAAATTTATAGGAAACTATGTTTAACTTTTATTTCCAGTATCTTTGGAGATTATAAATATTATAAGGAAGTCTTTAGTTGTCTTTTTCACTATTCTAAATATGGAAGTCTTGGAGCTTTAAAATGTTCTATGAAATACATGCAAGAATAGAACAGGACCATGACACATTGGCAATGTATCGGAAAGCATCCATCTCAAGTTGTTATAATGTTCTCTTTTGCAGTTTATTGAACGTGGAAAAGAAGATAGCATATTACTTATTGAGAACTGCGTGCATCACTTCAAGATTTTTGAAAAAAACTTGAAGAGTACTCAATTAGAACCTGCATTTGCTTCTATCTTTAGAAAGTTGATGGGAAAGCCTTACTTCTGTAAGGTGTTCTCATGTTTAGGAAAGTATACAGAAATCAATGAGACATTCCTAGACAATCTATCCACATCACTGCAATTATCGCCATATGAGAAATTTCAGTTTACCGTTGCGTTAGCAAACGCTGAAGATGATAATCTCAGTAGGGCCGGTGTGTTCTCTCTCTCTCTCTCTCTCTCTCTCTCTCTCTCTCTCCTGTTGTTCTTGGCTTCAATTGTTTACATGCATATGAGAACTATATTTGGCTTCAATTGTTTACATGCATATGAGAACTATATTTCTGTTTGCAGGAGGGAAGTACTGCGAGGAGCAATTCAAAGAGCTGTGTGAGCTGTCTGAGAGAGGCCATATACCTTCTGTTCGATCATTGCTCGAGGTATTAAAGTATCCTCTGTGGCTTCTCACAAAGACTAAATAGATCTTGAGGAATGGTTGAGCAGTAACCTTAGTAGTTAGTACACATGAAGATATGTTCTTTGAGCCAAATGAGAATAATTGTGGAGCCTAGTGATGTTATCTGTAGAAGTGTTGACATTCTCTATTTTGGTCACTTTACTTCTGTGTGTTTCAAGAACATGACATTTACATGTTTACCCTCTCAGGAACGAGTTAGATCCTTAATGGAGGGAGAATGTAGCATTCAGGAACCTTCTGACAGGGCACATAAGTCTGGAACTCAGGATCTTATTCAGGAGGCAGCTCCTACTTCTCCAAAGGTTTACCCGATCAATATGTTTGACTTACTATTTACCTTCATTTATATTTATATCTATTGAAATCCATATCTTTTTGTAGGTCCTTCAAGAAGATACTGCCTTGCTCTCTTCTAGTCAACTTTCGAAGGAAATGGAAAGTTTGTGCATAACGTCTACAGACGATTGTCCAATGATAGGGAACATTAGTGATGATCCTGATTCTTCAACAGTTGAAGTTGATGCAGATCATATAAACACAGAGGCCAATGCTTATTTCCAACAGATGTTCTCTGGTCAATTGACAGTTGACGCAATGGTTCAAATGCTTATGCAGTTCAAGGAATCTTCTGAAAAAAGGTTTTACTTTTCATTATCCATTTTTTATCATTAACAATCTTCCCTTGCCTTTTTTCATATGAGAATATGTTAAAATTTGAGATTTTAGCTTCTTTGCTAATCCATCTTATTATGCACATTGGCTTCCTGATCATACACTATGATTAAGTGGGAAGAAATGGTAGTGGTTGATAATGTGAGAAAGTAGGCACGTTGGTTGTTAGAGCAAATGCTAAGATCCCCCATAATTGGTTACCTTTGGTTCAATGTGTTAATGATTTAGGGTTTCTTGATTTGATTTAGATATCATATATAGAATTGATTAGTTTTCGTATCTTATCATTTCATATAAATGGAGGTCATTACTTCACCAGAAAAGTGAATAGATAGAAATAATCTTCTAGATCTGATTAAATGGTATCAGAGATTTGATATAGCCATCAAAACCCTAGTTGGCTTCCGGAACCCTCATTTCGGCCACCTTCATCATCCATTCTCTCTTTCTCTCGTCACTACAACAACTAAGTAACTGTCGTGCGTACACTACGTAGTTGAGGCACTTAATCACCTTAAATGGTTTTAAGTAAGGCATGAGGATAATGATTCATTACAAAGGAACCCACTTGAGATTTGGCACAACTTCCTCTTTTAAAGCGCGACAATGTTCATAATAGGTAATTATGATGAAACTTAATCCTTATGGTTTATTGCACCAAGTGGAAGCTCGGTTGGTTGCAAAAGGTTGTTCCTCACACCAAAGAGATTGGTAATGATGAGACATTATCTTCGGTGTTGAAGATATCATTTGGTTGGATTTGTATATCCTTAGTTGTTCCTTAACGTCGTTATCAATGAGGAGGTATACACGAAGCAACTAGTGTTTGTTATTAAGGAGGAGATATCTAAGGTATGTCTATTGTGTCATGTATTATGGTCGCAAGTAGTCCCTTAAATCATGGGAGATTTTCGATATCTACAAGGAGATTGGTATGGTTCGTAGTCCACTATCTATTAAGATACTTATATCATTTTCGATAAGTGTTTTGAGCTAGTTCATTCAATACACGATATTGGATAAAACTCTCCATATTTTGACGTAATCTTAAGGCTAAACCAAGCTTAACTATACTATACTTAGGATAACGCTATTGTGGAGTAGGTGCATTCATTGAAGAGAGAGATGGCAGTTGATATATGACTTTTCTAATGCAAATTGGGCTGACAGATATTTTTCTAGAACAGAAATACACACACACACACACACTAAAATCTACATCCGACATGGCATGAATCACCGAACCTGCACTCAGGAATAGTAATGCTCAACATCGTGGAGTTTTTGATCAGTCTTACAATAGGTTGTCTGCCTTTAAACTACACCATAGTCCCAAACAAGACTTGAACCCTCGACCACTTGGGCTGAGGAGCGCCATGTCAACACCAGCGCCAGATACCGTTGGGCTATATAGGGTATTGTGTATTTGTTGTGTAATTTAGCTATTGGAAAAACAAGAAACAACACACGATATAGAGCTATGGGAGTCGTGTCATATGAAATGACGTGATAGCCAATCAACAATTCATGCAACCAAAAGAATGAAGTATCCAATGAGAGGACCAAGCACATTGAAGTTGATGGCCACCTGATCAAAGACCATACATGGGAACATATACTTCCAACCGTTGCATATAAGGACAAAAAATCCGTTAAAGAAAGCAGAAATAGATTTTGTTCGTACAACTAGGACACCGTTACTCCAACTTGCGGAGTGTTAGATAGAATGTCTATATGATTTAGGATTTCTTGATTTAATTTAGTTACCATACTTAAAATTGATTTAGTTTCCTTTCCGTAGCTTAGCGCTGTGTATAAATTGAGGTCATTACCTTACAAAGAACACACTTACATACATTCCCCATTCAAATTACATTATGCAGGTTAATAGGGCACATGGGGAGATGTTTAACCACACGTCGTTACCATGTTTTAAAGAAGTGTTGTCTGAGTTTTTGTTTATGTTAACCTTAGTAGTCTAGGGTTTATGTTTTGTGAATACAATATCCCTGCCAATATATTGTCAAAAGAGAACACATAACGCTTCCCCAGAAGCCCTTAGGTGATTGAGCCTATAGAGGTTTGAGGTCTATGATTAAGCAGTGTTGAGAAATGGTCTTTGGATCTGAAGCAAAAAGCCACATTTCTGTCTTTGGTTTGCTAAAATTGAAAGAAATGATCACTGCGAGTGGAAGATATTGGTTGCTAGGTCGGATGAGGGTTTTTGAAAAGCATAAAGTGTATCTTTGCTTTGCATGATTTGTTCTCCTTCAAAATAGGTAGACTGTGCTGTAAAGAATACAAATATAGGAAGTTTTTAGTAAACAGGTTCGAAATGGAAATTAAGCATAAAAACTTAAATGTGTTTCTCTTGAAAGTAATTAGTATTATGATTATGGTTGTGAATCTTGGAGGGAGCTATGACTTGCAAGGCTACGGATGTATTTTGCACCGGATTCGGTTGCATAATTCAATATTAGATATTTTAAAAGAAGCATATTCAAATTTTCTCATAGTTTATAAAAAGTTACTGATGGATTCTATTTCTATTAAGTTGTACCCAACAAAATACCATTCAGAAGCAATCTTTTAGTATCTCATGATTTATCAAGTACTTATGCTTCTCCTTTGTGTGACCTCACAGGGAGCAATTGGTATTTGAGTATATGATCAGCAACCTGCTTCAAGTGAAAAAGTTTTTCAACACATATTCCGATGAACATTTTAACCTTTCTGCTATTCTATTTGGTGAGGACTCATAGGATTTACTCAAAACTGAAACATTTTGGTAACAATTCAACATATAACACACAACTTTTTCTAATATTTTTCCTGCAGGATTACTTATCAAGCATCAAGTTGTGAGCGATTCTACACTGAGCATTGCCTTACAATCCGTTTTGGATGCATTACATGAACCTGCAGATTCCAAAGTTAGTGTTGATTTCCAGAAATGGTTGTTGCTAGACTGAAGGCTATTGTTTATTTAACTATACAACATTATCTTTGTGCAGATATTTATTTTTGGGACAAAGGCATTGGAAACTTTTGTGGATCGCTTGATTGAGTTTCCAGAATTCTGCCAACAAGTCTTACAGATCTCTCATCTACAGGGTACTCATTCTGAGCTTGTTTCCATTATTGAACAGACACTTGGCAGAACTTCATCAAGCCATTCAGAATCAGATGAAACCCACAATCAATGTAGTTCTACCCCACCACCAGAAAATGTTGTGGTAAGTTTTATGTGTATTTTGGTTTGAATGATCTTTCTTAGTACACATGAAGATATGTTCTTTGAGCCAAATGAGAATAAGTGTGGAGCTTAGTGATGTTATCTGTACAAGTGTTGACATTCTGTATTGTGGGCACTTTACTTCTGTGTGTTTCAAGAACATGACATTTACATATTTACCCTCTCAGGAACGAGTTAGATCCCTAAAGGAGGGCGAACATGGCATTCAGGAACCTTCTGACAGGGCACATAAGTCTGGAACTCAGGATCTTATTCAGGAGGCAGCTCCTACTTCTCCAAAGGTTTACCCGATCAACATGGTTGACTTACTATTTACCTTCATTTATATTTATATTTATTGAAATCCATATCTTTTTGTAGGTCCTTCAAGAAGATACTGCCTTGCTCTCTTCTAATCAACTTTCCAAGGAAATGGAAAGTTTGTGCATAACGTCTACAGTCGATTGTCCAATGATAGAGAACATTAGTGATGATCCTGATTCTTCAACAGTTGAAGTTGATGCAGATCATATAAACACAGAGGCCAATGCTTATTTCCAACAGATGTTCTCTGGTCAATTGACAGTTGACGCAATGGTTCAAATGCTTACACAGTTCAAGGGATCTTCTGAAAAAAGGTTTTAGTTTTCATTATCCATTTCTATCATAGCAATCTTCCATTGCCTTTTTTCATATGAGAATATGTTAAAATTTGAGATTTTAGCTTCTTTGCTAATCCATCTTATTATGCACATTGGCTTCCTGATCATACACTATGATTAAGTGGGAAGAAATGGTAGTGGTTGATAATATGAGAAAGTAGGCACGATTAGTTGTTAGAGCAAATGCTGAGATCCCCCATAATAGGTTACCTTTGGTTCAATGTATTAATGATTTAGGGTTTCTTGATTTGATTTAGTTATCTTATATAGAATTGATTAGTTTTCGTATCTTATCATTTCATAAGAACTTAAATGTGTTTCTCTTGAAAGTAATTAGTATTATGATTATGGTTGTGCATCTTGGAGGGAGCTATGACTTGCAAGGCTACAGATGTATTTTGCACCGGATTCGGTTGCATAATTCAATATTAGATATTTTAACAGAAGCATATTTGATTTTTCTCATAGTTTATAAAAAGTTACTGATGGATTCTATTTCTATTAAGTTGTACCCAACAAAATACCATTCAGAAGCAATCTTTTAGTATCTCATGATTTTATCAAGTACTTTTAGTTCACCTTTGTGCAACCTCACAGGGAGCAATTGATATTCGAGTATATGATCAGCAACCTGCTTCAAGTGAAAACGTTTTCCAACACATGCTCCGATGAACAATTTAACCTTTCTGCTGTTCTATTTGGTGAGGACTCATAGGGTTTACTCAAAACTGAAACATTTTGGTAATAATTCAACATATAACAGACAACTTCTAATATTTTTTCCTGCAGGATTACTTATCAAGAATCAAGTTGTGAGCGATTCTACACTGAGCATTGCCTTACAATTCGTTTTGGATACATTACAAGAACCTGCGGATTCCAAAGTTTGTATTGGTTTCCAGTAATGGTTGTTGCTAGACTGAAGGCTATTGTTTATTTAACTATACAACATTATCTTTGTGCAGATATTTATTTTTGGGACAAAGGCATTGGAAACTTTTGTGGATCGCTTGATTGAGTTTCCAGAATTCTGCCAACAAGTCTTACAGATCTCTCATCTACAGGGTACTCATTCTGAGCTTGTTTCCATTATTGAACAGACACTTGGCAGAACTTCATCAAGCCATTCAGAATCAGATGAAGCCCAAAATCAATGTAGTTCTATCCCACCACAAGAAAATGCTGTGGTAAATTTTATGTGTATTTTGGTTGTATGATCTTTCTTAATACATGCCCACAATTCTTAAGTTTTCTTTTGGACTATGGTGGATTGATATATGCATCCTACAAAATTGTTTTCTGTGTAGATGCCGGATTCATCTTCCCCTTTGACTGGATCTGAGGGTGAACATCTTGGTTCTCAAGTATCTTCTCCACCAAATCTTCAACAGAGAAATGAGATTCAATCAGATGAAATACAAAAACCATCTTTGACTGAATCCAATCACACGAATCAAAACTTAACTACTTCAGTTGCCACCTCAAGTGGTTCAGCAAGTATTCAGAAGGCAAGTAACATGCTGTCACTTTAGCTATATCAGCTTTACCAGTCATTGGTGGCTGATCCACATTTTTCAGAATTTGTTGTTGAAATTGTTTCTGCTTAATCCTCTTAACATGCAGCCTCAAAGTGTAGCTAGATCTTCAGCACTAATGGCTTCATCTCCAGAGTTTTGTCCTCCATTTAGAACAGTTGCCTCATCAAGTAGGTTTCCTGTACTTGTGGTTTTGTGGTTCCTTGTCTTTTCTTTGATCCCCTGAGCATATTGCAGTTACCTTTTGTTGATGGTGTTTAAAAATGTTTGAGAATTGCAGGCTTTCTCTCAGCAAGCATCAGAACACTTCATGATGCTGCTCAAAGAAGAGAAACACCCATACAGGTTTGTAATCTTAGCTTACTTTATTAAATTGAGTTTCAAATATTTCATGGTTATTATTTATTATACCTCAATGTTTGTGTAAGTATCAATGTATCATTTCTATAAAATTATAAAAAGATTTCTTCACTTATATTTATCTGCATCTTCTTTACAGGCCCCACCATCCAAAACTCGGGATAAAATCTCATTCATTTTTAATACTTTATCCATTGCAAATACTGAAGCTAAAGTAGAAGAGTTTACCGAGATTATGGAGGAACAGTATTATCCCTGGTTTGCACAATATCTTGTTATGAAAAGGTGAGAAACTGTATGATTTTTCATTATAACTATTCAAGGAATTGGATTTTTTTTTAATGACTCATTGATCATGCTGACAGAGCAAGCAAAGAAGAAAATTTTCACAAGTTGTTTATGAATTTTCTCGAGAAAGTTAATTCAAAACAGCTTACGGAAGAAGTCGTTAGAGAAAGCTATGAGAACTGCAAGGTATTCTTTTCTACATTATTCATTGATGGATTTAAATATGGTATATAAACCTGGAGTAATTTGTTATTTGGGAATGCAACAGGTTCTCTTAAGGTCTGAGCTGATACAGACGAGTTCAGAAGAGCGTCTGTTGCTCAAGAATCTTGGGGGGATGGCTCGGAATGATTACAATCGGTAGAAATAGAGTTCTATTGTCTAAACATATTGATCCAAAATCTTTAATTATAGAGGTAGATTTTGTTTCTTTTCATCTTTTTGACTTAGGTGCGATATATGACATATAAGTTTACTTATAAACTTGTGTAGGCTTATGAAAAGGGATTAATGATTGGGATAATTCCATTTACCTCCAAGGTATGTATAACTCCATTGGTTTATGTTTATTCTCCAAATCATTATGGTTATTTTATTGGTATTGTTTTTTTTTTTCACTTCACTTGCTATAGGTTTTGGAACCTTGCAAAGGGAGTCTAGCATATCAACCACCGAATCCTTGGACTATGGGGATTCTTGGATTACTTGCTGAAATACATGCAATGCCAAACCTCAAAGCAAATCTCAAGTTTTCAATAGAAGTACGTTTGAATCGATGTGTACCACATGTACAATTGTGATTTTGTAATGGTGTATATACACACATACAGATACATATTCTCATGTTGGTTTTCCCTTTTAGATATTGTTCAAGAATCTTGAATTGGACATGAAGGCAGTTACTCCAACATCTCTTCTGAAGGACAGGGTTAGGAAAAAATTGAAGGAAACCCCGATTTCTGTAACAAAGATGTTGGGTCATCTCAGCAAAATACTGTAACATCTGCTGTAAATCAAAGTGAACAACCACTTGAAGCTGCTGTTCCATCTTATCAGGATGGGGATTCACATATATTATACCAGGTTTGTTTTCTATAGACGTTTTTGAGATTATCTAAGCTATTTCACTATCTGATTTTCTGGTGCCTTCTATTTTGGTTGATAGCATGCTGCTCCAGTTCATTTCCCTGCTGTTCCTTTGGTTGAAGATATGAATATGCTTTTCCAAAGGTTCTACTTTTCTCTTCTCATTGCAACTAGATAATTGAAAATTGTTTGCTGAAAAACTTATTGATTGTTCTTATTGATTACTTTTGCAGGTTGCTTCCAGTGGTAATGGATAAGGCTGTTAAAGAAATACTTTCTACTATTGTTAAGAAGAGTGTTACCATAGCAACTCAAACAACAATGGCACTTGTTTTAAAGGTGTCATTCTCATTCAGTTAGTTCTTTCTATGGGGATGCTTTTGAACCCTCCAAATACTGATTGAAGGTTTTGTGTATATCAATTAACAGGAGTATGACAACAGTTCTGATGAGAACTATATCCATAGTACATCATCCTCCATCATTGTTTGCCTGGCTGGAAATCTGTCTTATGTTACTAGCAAGGTTCATTGTCAACTTTATACTTGTAGTCATTTTCTGTTTTGTTCATGTGTGTATTATTTTCTGAGAGAAAGTTAGTGTGATCTCCTTTCTGTAGGAACCTCTTCGTAAGAAGATGTCAAGTCAGCTAAGAAACTCTCTACAGGGTTTAAATATTGCAAGTGAATCCCTTGAACATGCCATGCAACGTGTTATTGATGACAACCTTGAGTTGGGCTGTGCATCAATTGAAAAAGCTGCAATTGAGACGGTTTTAATTTCTTAATCTTGTTGTTGTTGTTATATATATTCATTTTTCTTTGCATCTTATGTTTAATATCGATGCACGTGTCATACAGGGGCTAGTAATAGTAAAAAATGAAATTGCTCAGCAACTTTCAGTTAGAAGGAAGCAAAGAGAAAGTTCTAGAACTACAACAAGTGATCCAAACCTATCTGCACAAAGTTTAGGTGTTTTTCCAGAAGTCTTTCATCCTCAAGCTGCCCAATTTGTATCCCTTCATCAACAGCAAGTTCGTATGGTTCCAGCTCCTCAATCACATGTATCAGGGACTTATAATGTTGCTAATGTAAGTAACATTCATTATTCAAGTGTTCAATTTGATGAGTTTCAACTTCTGAATCTTTGCTTTGAATTTCTAGGAAATGGGAGCCCAACAACAGACGATTCTTCCACCTTCAAGTTCCAAGCACTTTGTAAGCAAACCTTCATTAACTACTGGTGCTGCATTGGATGAATACCATGTTCTTGCAAAGAAGGTTGGATATTGTATTTGATTTCCTTGAATTCTTATGTATCTGGAATTTCCGAATGGAAACAATGCATATATTTTTATTTATAATAATGTGTTGTAGAGCTTACAGAAACTTATTTTCCTTATCAATTCTTTCAGCTTGAATTTTTGATTGGTAAAGATGCTAAACAAGCTGAAATTCAGGTATTCTATCTTCTTTTTCATTAATAAATTACTTTAACCTTTTCATTACTTGTGTATAACAATCAAATTTTAAACTGTAAACCAAAGTAAGTATCCTAAATCTGCATACCAAAATCATTTTCTTCCTTCATTCTTGTTCATATTAATATTTTTATATAGCAATGAAATATAAATAACAAAACAAGAGGATGGTTGTTTGGTTGTTTTCAGTCTGTTATTTGTGAGGTTCCTGTGGTTGTTCTTAGATGCATCAACAAGGATGAGGCTGCCTTGGCTCTGGCTCAAACGGTATATATAATACCCCTTGCTATTATATGGAATTGTGGATGCTCTTCTTTCTTACAAAATAATTTTTCCAAATTTTATGTAGGTTTTCGAGAGTTTATATGAAAATGCAGCCAACTATGTACATGTCAATGCTGAACTTGACATCTTAGCTGGTGTGTGTGATGTTAGCAAGCTTGTGAGGAGGGAACTCACTAGTTGGGTATGACCATAATCATGTTACATCATTTGTTGCATTCAGTTATTGACACTTCATTTCTGCAATCAGGTAGTGCATTCTGATGATGAGAGGAGATTCAACAAAGATATTACAGTTGGCCTAATTCGCAGGGAATTACTGAACCTCACTGAGTATGATGCTTGCATGGCCAAACTTATTGATGGAGGAAAGAGTGGTATGTATGTCTAAACATGCATTACAGATACTGAAGATTATATCATTCATATCAAATTTGAAGTTAAACATCAGATAAAAGAGTGTCAATGTCAATGTCCGATCATTAATTGCATTTCATGACACCTCCCTTCACTTTTATTTTGGAACTTCATTTTAAAAGCGTCTGATAAATGTGAAGGAATTTTAAAAACAGAAGTTCGAAATATTTTTAACTGTAATTTTTTTTCCATAAAAGGCCTGTTAAAATTTCATTCATCACAACTATGGTTTTAACTATAATATGATGCACAGGGGCGACAATAGAGTTTTTCATCTCCCTTGTTGAAACACTGAAGCTCAGTGATGCAGGAGTATTGTCTTCACTTCACAATGTCGTTCACACTTTATCCAAGGTTTGATCTTGCTCCTAATTGCTATGACCTTAACCTTTAATGATGTGTCAAATACATGCCATGTCACCAAAACTTACCGTTTAAACTGAGAATAGAACATTTTCCAGTGGAACAAAATCATAAATGACAAGGTTAACCAATTTTCAAACAACCTAAAGAAAGAAAAGGTAATATGATTCTTGTTAACGATATCCAATTTGAAGCTAACTTTTATGTTTGGATGGAACAGGTGACTAAGCATCCTGTGGCCAGCAAGGATGATGACGGGGCATTTATATCTTCTGAACCAGATCCTCCTAGTTTCCATTGGCAGGTAGTAATTAATTTACACTCTTTCACTAACTTCCTAATTATTCTCATCTTACATGATATTTAATTTTTAAGACCTTAATTTATGAATGATTCATGTAAAATCAGGTTTCCATGACATTTAATGAGTGGTGTCGGATACGTGATCGCCATGGTGTCAATGATGCAGCTCGTGCTCATTTTGTTCATCAAAATGTATTGTCAAGAGCTGATGATATGCCAAACCGCTTTTTCCGCCGCCTTATGGTGATTCTGATAACTCATGTCCCTTGTCCTTTACTCTCACACACACACACACACAGTTTTAAGGAAAAAAAAACCATATCTTGATCACTTGTGATATTATTAGGAGCTTGGTGTGTCACACTATCTATCTTCTCAAGGGACCAATGAAGAAGCAAATCTATCATCTTTCCTTGTCATTGATATCTCCGCAGACCTTGTCTTTTCAATCTTGAGGGTAGGAGTTAAAACTTCCTTTTTATATGTGTAATATATATAATCAATGTATATTTCATCAACTTGCCATTTTTGTTCTTTTTTTTCTAGTTTCTCCCTGTTGACCAGGGATCAAGCAAGCTCTCTCTTTTCTCGAAGGTACAAATTTAAAACTAAAGTTCATTTTAAAAAAAAGTTGATGGTTTGTTGATTGTAATTTGTATACACATTTTGTTGAACAGGTGTTAGCGGTGATTGTGAGATTTGTTAAAAAGGATGCAGAGGAAAAGAAAGAAACATTTATTTCTACACCATATTTCAGGCTATTCATCAACTTTTTCAATCACCTTCATACCCTCGACTCTACCATCAATGATGCAAATTTTCAGGTATTTTCATTTTTATTTTAATTATTTTGAAAATTTTCATGCATACGTTCTGTGAATTCCATTGGATTGTACAGATTTTGGCTGCTCTATCAAATTCATTTCATGCCTTGCAGCCACTCAAAGTTCCTGCATTCAGGTTCGTGTAGATAAATATTTAATAACATAAAAAAGGCAAGCATATCTTCATATTTAATATTTTACAACTTCTTTTTGACAAATTGTTTTCAGCTTTACATGGGTTGAGCTAATCAGTCACAAAGATTTCATGCCAAAACTCTTTGCTACCAATGGTCAAAAAGGATGGCCATACTTCAAACGCCTACTGGTAGACTTGTTGCAGTTCATGGAGCCCTGCTTGAGGACAGGGGAACTTACAGATCCGGTTTGCATTGAAATATTCTATCTTTCATCATTATTTTGAAAAATCTATCCAGTTATAGTAATGTCATCCAGATACAAAACAAGTTACACTCTGCTATAGTTCGATAGATTTTTCAAAGTACAATTACTTAATGAGAAAAAAATGAAATTACAACGCTATAATAGAAATATTTGCAATTAGGATGCTATAATACACAAACAAATGAAAGTACAGTGCTATTTGTTATATTTAGCCCTTATTTTCAGCTTCAGAAATCAGAAACTAATGTGTATGTTGCTTTCTTTAGGTCCGTATACTATACAAAGGCGCACTGAGGGTGCTTTTGGTGGTGGTTCATGATTTCCCGGACTTTGTTTGCTATTATTATTTCAGTTTCTGTGAAGCTATTGCTTCACGCTGTGTCCAACTTAAAAACATTATTCTTAGCACGTTTCCAGCTAACATGAGTCTTCCAGACCCAAACACTCCCAATTTGAAGGTCTTTGACTTATCTTAACTCACTACATTTATATTACACAGTACATAACATGACGATCTTGTACTGTGTTTAACATGCATTGGACTGAAACTGGGACTGATGTCAATGAGACAAAAGTTGCAATTTTATATCGCATGTAACGAACACAACCATAGTCTTGGTGACAAGAACTAATTACCAAATGCAATATATATCTTTTTTTTTCAGGTGGATCTGCTAGCTGAGATAAGTCAACCACCTTGCATTGACCCAGAGTTTGCTGCTGCTTTGAAAGCCAACAATATGAAAAACGACGTTGATGAGTATTTTATGGTATATATACATGATTTCGACTAGTAATTGTAAAATCCAATTTTTTTTTTTTTTTTCTTATCGGCTCTTCTAATATTACTCGCATTTCTTTTTTGTTATTGGTACAGACAAGGCCAGAAACGTCTTCATTTCTTTATGGATTAAAGTACAGACTACTTCTTTCATCAAGAGAAGCTGAAAGGTCTGGAACATACTACAATGTTCCTCTAATAAACTCACTTGTACTTTACGTTGGAACAAAGGTACAATCAAAAGTCCCCTTTATATTCTTCACACCATAGTTTTCCTTTTTGCCCCTAGGGCATAGTCAAAAGGTTTTGAGAGTTTCAGTTCCAACGTGGATTGAGCTCCTATAGTGGGCCACTGTTTATCTGATTAACATCTCACATGATGGAAAAGGACATGACATGACAGAGCAGTGTGCGCCAGCCAGCCAGGGGTTGTTGGAAAAATAACTCCGGTACATAAATAATGTTTTATGTTTTTTCATGTTATCTCCCAGGCCATCCAACAGCTGCAAGTGAGCACCGCTTCTAATGCAACCTCCATAACTAGGTTTGTCTCAAAGACTGGCTACTTTGCGGGTGCGGCTTTGGACATCTTCCGGACATTAATACGCGACCTAAATTGGGAAGGCCGCTACCTCTTCTTCAATGCGGTTGCAGACCAATTGCGTTATCCCAACAACCACACACATTTCTTTTCCTTCATTTTGCTTCACTTCTTTGTTGAGATAAAAGAGGTGAGACCCACTTTCTCTTGGTTAATTAATTACAACCCACATGACAGGACAGAACAGAACAAAACAGATAGATTTTTCAAAGCACATAATATATGTTTTTCTTGCTGTGTAAGCAGGAGGCGATTCAGGAACAGATAACGAGAGTGTTATTGGAGAGATTGATAACTAAACTCCCACACCCATGGGGGGTTCAGGTTACCTTCATTGAACTTGTAAAGGTAACCTTATCATAATTTACGGTTCTGGTCCCTTGAGTTTAATTGATTAAACTTCATAAAAGTTAACACTTGTTTGATGGTTTTTAATTGATTGGTGAACAGAATCCTAGGTACAAATTTTGGAATCTGAATTTTACAAGGAGTGATCCTGAGATCAAAAGAGTCTTTGACTCTGTTTCAACAAGTTTTGGTGTCCATGTACAAGACGTTAATGCTGTTTCTGGAGTGCTCTAAAAATCACTTCAGTTGTTTATGTTGGTTTGTTGTATGTGTGATTCTGATAAATATGACAGTTAAAATCGTTGCAATATTTATATGTATATGTAGATATATATATGTAAGTATGTGTGCATGTATGTACATGTATTTTGTATGTATATGCAATATGTGTTAGATGCATGCATATGTGTTTTGTATGTGTTGGCTTCATTTATATTAATCATCTTGATTCGATATGATTATGCTACATTTTTTTAACAATACAAAGTGGTTTGATCAAAACTCAAAAGTATAATGTGTTTTTGTTTTTCAACTTGTAATTGTAATGATTGTGGTTTATTTAGAATAGATAGTAGCTATCATGTTTTATTTTTATATAAAAAATGTGTACCATGTTTAGTATTTTTTTGAAGGCTGGCCGGATGTTTAATGAGTGCTGCAAGTTGGTTTGAAAATGGTTTTTATCAAGTTGGAATAAAAGAATAAATTCAAAACATATAATGAGTTTGAATACAAAAATTAATTCAAAGCTATCATGAGTCAAGTACTGAAGTTTAAGTTTATAAAACATGCTTTAGCCCTGTCTTTTGGATATTTTTACACTTATGTCACTATTTTTTCATACATATCTAGTTTTTGCATTTTCATGTAATGTCTTAAATTATTATTATTATTTTTTTCTTTTCAGTTTTGATGTATTGAGTAATCTGATCAGCATTTTGATTTAAATCAAAGTCCAGTTTAAGAAAAGTATTTACATATTTAAGTAATAATTGAAATTCTTTTCATTTAAGTTAAAATCGCCTATTAAAATCGGTTAGTAGGTTAAAGTGCATATAATAACTTCCAACCAACATAAGATATATATCATATTAGCATGTACAAATGCATACAATAACTTTCACCCAACATAAGATATATATCATATTGGGTAGTTTTGGAGTGGACTATTTTGGACTACACCCAACAATTCGATACACGACGTGAATACAACTTACATTTTCCTTGTATGGGTTTTGAAAATTCTTGTTTCGTATCTTACATGTGTCATATATGAATTTATCCGTTTAAACACATATAACACATGCATCAGACACAAGTTAACATATTTTGACATGTTTTTGCATCATGTACAATGGTTTAATATAGTCATGTAAAAATTTATGTTTTCATGTAATACATTTAAAACATTGTGTTATGTTACATGTTACACATTATTTTTATGCCTTTTATACACAGACACATTTTAACATTTTAGAATTCATATATGTACCGTGACACAACACGCAAACACACACACACAAAAAAAAAAGGTAAAGGAGGGCGGCACCTCCATTAAATTTTATTAAAAGAATACAATAACAGACTAGAGATTCATCGCCTATAGAAAAGAAAAAGTCCCCTAGGACAGTCCCTAGGAACCAAAACAACCTAACTGACTAAAACCAACTAAAAGGGGGAAAAGCGTGCTCTAAACCCCAATACACAGCATAACCAACCACAAAGGCAAAAATAAGAAATAAACCTTGGACACAAAGTCAAGGCGGATGCTGAGTGGCAATATTTTCGTTCTTCATAGGAAGCCTCCAAATGATCTTAGCTTTAGGAACATTTGGGGAGGCCTTGAGAGTGAAGCTCATGAGTCTCGAGCGAACTTCATTAGTAATAGTCTTCACCATAGTTTCATAGGTTATTCTCTTATTCTTGAAGATCTTATTGTTTATTTCAATCCAAATATGGTAGACAATACCTAGAAGAACAAAACAACGAATAACATACCAAATGGACTTACCTCTAGTGGCCTGCTTGAGGAGGTCAATGATGCCAAACCACTTGCCAGGAACATTGTTTGGATTTATCAAGGTTGTTATCTCATGCTAAATCTGAGATGGATATGAACACTCAAAGAAAAGGTGGTTGAGAGAGTCAGGGATAAGATGATAAAAGCTGCAAGACAGGTTTTGGTTGGGCTCCCAATTCGGATTCTATCATGAGTTTTTCAGTCAACATCTGGATCCTATTGCTGAAGGCTAAGCCAAGCTTCACGAACAGAAAATGGAATAAAAAGACCCGCTTTGTTACGCCGGAAGAGTTTATCATATGTAGAGTGTGATATAGCAAGAGGGGGTAGTTACTAAGAGAACCAATGGACTCACTTAAAATATGAGGATAAACCCAATTACCACCCGAGACAATGTCACTAACAGTAGCATCAAGGGAGAAACCCGCTTGGTGAATAGCACGAGGGATAATGAATCGAGAGAGGGGACCAACAGAATGTCAGTTTTCATACCACGCAGAAGACGTGTTACCATGACCAATCTGAGAGACAATGAATTTTATAATCTTATCACGAATACCAAGGAGTTTATGCCAGCCTGCTCCGATGCCACTTTTAGTCGAAGCATCCCAGAAGTTTCGACCTTGGATTCTATAAGAGTGGATTCATTTCAACCATAGGGAGTCCTTATTGGTATGGAGTCTCCATATGTAAGAGGCCATAAGAGCAGTATTCCAAGTGGACATATTCTTTATACCAAGGCACCATGAGTCTTTGGGAGACAAACAACTTTCCAAAAGACTTTGGCTTTTCCTCTTTTCAGCTCACAATGGCACATGTGACATCCCTAATTTTATGGCCAATTAAAAACTTTTTCTTTATGCTTATTTAAAATACAATATTCTTTTATTGGTGCGGAATTTGTCCCAAAACATTATTAATGTGAAATGATAATAATATCTAAAGCATTTTCAAAGAAACGTTTTTCATTAATATTCAAAATCTTGGGATGTCATAACCAATACAGAAACATAAACATAAACTAGTCTTTACAGGCCTTACATCAATTTAATTAATGGCCTAAAACTCCTTAAATCTCTCGGCAGATTCAAACATCAATATCCATGAACCTTCATATCGATACCTATGGTACAAAGAAACTGAATGAGTCGGGATTGGGAGCTTGGTGAGCACATAGGGTTTTCAACCCATAATATTATAATTAGTTTGTTTTAATTATATTGTTCACACCAAACAAATACCCAATTCCCCTTTCCCGTTATTCTCACTCCCTAACCCTGAGATGATGATTTCGTGGGACATATGCTAAAGTATCACTAAGTAGAGAATACCGCTTTTGGGGATTCCTTAGAAATATATGTCAACAAGTAAATCATGGGGGTGAATAGAGTACCCACATGAATGTATAGTTCATTAACATCTACAGGTCGTAGACTTGCCCATGTATGGTTCATTTATCACCTACAGGTCTAAGACCTGCCCGTGTATGTTCCGTTTAACATCTACAAGTCAAAGACCTGCCAATGTATGGTTAAAAAACACCTATAGGTTGTAAACCTGGCCGTGTATGGCTTATAAACACCTACAGGTTGTAAAATTGCCCGTATATGGCTTATAAACACCTATAGGTTGCAAGCATGTCCATGTTTCACCAGACTTGTCTAGAATAGTATGTGGTCGCCCTCTATATCCTACTAGATGACTAATCCATAGCACCAGAACAATAAAATGTTGGCTACAACGTCGCATCATATTTTTCTTTCCATAACCCTTCACTATCCAATATGTTTTAGGTATGATAAAATAAATAGATTAATACTTTATCAAAATATAATTTAACCAAGTAAGCCGTATTGAGCACAAGTATTATAACTACAAATAATAGGAACACATAGAATTTAAGCAGATAAATACTTCATACTTCAAATGCTTGATGGTAGAATTATTGCAGTTTATAGAGCCCTTCTTGAGGATCGGGGAACTTACAGATCTGGTTTGCACTAAAATATTTCTTTCATAATTATTTTCAGTGGTTAAATGCATGAAACAACAATGTACTTTCATTGATTCGTTTGTTATAGCCTTCTACTTTTATTTCTTCCTATTACAACATTGCATTTTGAAAAATCTACCTGGTTATAGCAATGTCATCCAAATACAAAACAAGTTTCACTCTGCTATAACTCAATAGATTTTTTCAAAGTACAATTCCTTAATGAGAAAATAACTGAAAGCACAACACTACAATAGAAATATTTGCAATGAGGATGCTATAATACACAAACAAATGAAAGTACAGTGTTATTTGTGATGGGTTTTATAGGTTATTAAAATACATATGAAGCGAAAAAAAAAAGTTAACCCTTAAGTTCACATACAACCTATAAAAGGATCTATGTTTTCTTTAATTGATAGCAATAAACAATGAACATCAAGAAGCCTAATGGAGACCTACTATAATAGAAATATACGTAGTATTAGGTTTTCTTACCTTTTGATTATTGTAGCAAATAATCACACCAATTTCCTTCTTGAAAACCTTAGAAAGCAAGCACCAAAAGCTTAGTGCCTCAAATGGATTTGTACCCAAACCCTAGAGACCAGAAGTCAAGAGGAAATAAGAGATGTGGAAGAAAAATTTTGGCTCTTCCTTTGAGTATGGAGTGGATGAAAATAAGGAGCCCTAAGAGTCCTATTTATAGCCTATACAAGGAACCCTGGAAACCCTAATTTGAATATAACATTAATATTTCAAATTAGGTAATTATCCAACCCCTTAATTATCTATAAGGAATATTCTACACCCTCTTAGGATCCCTCCTAGAACTGTCCAAGCCCTGGAAGGTTCTGGAATTTCCTCCTGTTCAACTATTGAACAATTCAACTTAAGTCCTTACACTATTAATTAATCCAATTAATCCCAAAATTAATTCTAATTAATTTCTGATTAATTTTTAATTAATTATTACTATTTCTAATTAATACATTAACCACATAATATATTCACAAATCATTTATCATAATTCATTAATCATATAAAAAATCAATAAATCAATCTCTCTCTCCAAATGTCATTCTACATAATTATTAGTTATGAAGGCAACCCAAAAAAGACTTTGCTTTCAATTCAAGTATATACCAATTTAGTTATGATCCTAGACACCTTAATTCAACAGTCTCCCACTTGGATAAGTATATAACTACAATTGCAAGT